CCTTTTCCTGCTGCCTTCTATTTTACCCAGCATCATTATCTTTTCCAAAGAACCCTGCTTTCTCATGAGATGCCCAAAGTAGGACAGCTTTAGTTTTGTCATTTTTGCCTCCAGTGATGTTTCAGGCTTCATTTGCCTTAGGACCCATGTGCTTGTCTTTCTGGAGGGCCAGGGCACCTGTAGAGGTCTCCCGCCAAACCCATACAGGGTGGGGCGAAAGTAGGGTTACAGTTGTTCACGTGGAAAATACAATAATCCATAAAAAATAATACAAGATAAACTGTGTTTTGCATACTCAAAACTGTAAACCTACTTTTGCCTCACCCTGTATTTCAAATGAATCCTCTTTTTTTCCTATTGGCCTTCTGATAATACTTCTGATAAATGGATGACTCGTAGATCTGCTCACCAAACTCCAGACTCAGATGTCCGTGGCATCTCCACTTGGATGGCTGACACTGTAAACTATAGGCTCAGAACTGAACTCCTTCTTGACCTTCTCTTAAAGAAATAAGCCTCCCAGAATTTTACTCAGACCAAGTAAATTTTTTGAAGCCAATAACCTTAAGGTCATCCTTTTTTTCCTCCTATTCCCTACACATATCTGCCAGTAAATCCATCAGCTTTTCCTCTAAAACAGATCCAGAATATTAGCACTTCTCACTGCCACCCTGCTATACCCATGGTTCAGGTAACTGTACTATTTTCTAACTTGATTATTTATCACCACCTCCTAAATGTTCTGCTCCTGCCCTTGTGCTCCCTAGAATCTAGTCTCAACATAGCTAGGCCAGAGAGTCCTTTATAACTCAAGTCAGATAATTCCTCTCCCCCGACCTCCCATCCCCTGGTAACCACCATGTCACTCTCTGCTTTGACCTCTGCAGGTTCCATAGGTGACATCATACAGTATTTGTCTTTCTCTGTCTGACCTGGGGAGAGGGTAACTGGAGGGACAGGACAGATACTATTCAAGGGTACCAACTTGCAACGAGTAGTAAATAAGTCTTATATATCTAATGCACAGTACAGTGCATGTAGACAAAAATACTATATTATAATAAGCAAACTTGCTAAGAGACGAGAACTGCATTATTCCAACCACTAAAAAGAAATAATTACATAATGATAGAGATGCTAATTATTGCTATAATGACAATATTATAACATATAAATGTATCAAATTAACATGTATACCTTAATACCTTAATTGACACAATGTTATATGTCAGACATATTTCAATTAAAAAAACAAAAAGATAATGTCCTCTGCTTCAAATTCTCCAATGGTAATCCATGCCATGTACAGTAAAAGCTAAGGTCCTTACAAAGGACTCAAGGGCCCTACATGACCTGCTCTCCCATCCAACCATCTATCCAATAGCATCTCCCACTCATCCCCCTGCCCCCCCGCCTTTTTTTTTACAGGCACTGACCTCACACTCCTGAACACTCTCACACTCATGCTGCTCCCTCTGCTGGTGATGCTCTTCTTTCAGAAGCGCAGGAAGTCGGTGCTTCCTCCTTTAGGTCCTTGCTCAAGTGTCAACTCCTTAGTGAGGGCTTTCCTGACTGCTCTGTTTAAAATTCCATCTTCCACACTCACTACTCCTCTTTCCTGATTTTGTTTTCTCCACAGTGTGTATCGCTACATGACCTCTCTATGTAAGAGAAGCAAATGCAGATCTTCTCTAGAAGAACACTCTTTCATTTGAGGCCTTAGAGAATTCCCACACGTACTTTCCCAAGGAAAATGAGTAGCTCAAGGTAAAAACAACCAGGTATACAAGGAAAAAGAATACAACAGAGAACCAATAGGAATCAACAGCAGAGACAGATCTGAAAAGATTTTAGATGAGTTGGAGGCGTAATTAGTAAACTAAAACATGTATCAGAAGAAATTATCGAAAATGCAGCATAAAAAGATAAGGACACGGAATATATAAAGATAAGGAACATGGGGGATTAATGGAGAAGGGCTAACATACATTTAACTGGAGATGCGGAGAGAAAAGCTTGAGAGACTGGCAATATCTGAAGGAATTATGCCTGACAATTTCCCAGAACTGTCGAAAGACACCAAACTTATAATTCAAGAAACTCAATAGTCTACATAGTTTAAATAGAAAAAAATTCATATCCAGACATTTCATAGTGAAACTAAAGAACACCAAATTACAGAGAAAATTTTAAAAGGGGAAAAAAATTCCTGTAAAAGAGCACTGCTACTTTTCAGCAGTAACAATGGAAATCATTAAACAACAGAATGGTATCCTCAATACTCTGGGAATTCTACCCCTAGAGAAAGTATCTTTTAAGAGTGAGGGTAAAACAAAGACATTTTCAGACAAGCAAATATGGAGGAACACAGACCCTCACTAATGGGTTTTCCAAAGGCAGAAGGAAAAGTATCCCAGAAAGACACCCTGAGATGCAAGAAGAGCAAAGACAGTGGAAGGTCCTAATGAACACTGAATTTATAGAACAGTAACAAATTTTTTGACAAGAAAAGATAGAATTAAGACACATGACAACAATACATAAAAGTTTAGAGGGCTGTAAATGGAATTCAAGTGTGTTCTAAGGTCTCTGTAACATAATTTTAGATTTTCAATAAAAATAAATAAATAGTAAGATATTAAAAACAGTCTAGATGGTGGCCAGTAAAAAGAGGAGGAAAGAACAGGGGAAATATATAGAAAATAAAAAATAAGATTTAAACCTTAATACATAATAAATCAAAGTAAATGTAAATGAACCAAACACTCCATTTTAAAATGACAAAGACTTCCAGGCTGGATTAAAAATAATACAATTAAATGCTGTTTTTAAGACATATCTGTCCCTGGCTGGTGTGGCTCAGTGAACATTGTGCCGACCTGTGAACCAAAGGGTTGCTGGTTCGATTCCCAGTCAAGGCACATGCCTGGGTTGTGGGCCAGGTCCCCAGTACAGGGCGTGTGAGAGACAACCACACATTGATGTTTCTCTCCATATCTTTCTTCCTCCCTTCCCCTCTCTCTAAGAATAAATAAAATCTAAAAAAAAAAAAAGACATATCTGAAACATAATGATACATAAAGTTGGAAGTAAAAAGATGGCAAACAATATACCACGTAAATATATCCAGGAGAAAGCTAAAGCAGCTATGAAAATATTAGATAAAACAGAGTAAAGCAAAAAACACATTTAAGAGACCTAAATAAACATAAAGATATAACATGTTTATGCATTAGAAGAGTTAACATTATAAAGACATAGGTTTCTTACAAATTGATCTTTCTGTTCAATGCAATTCTAATCAAATTACCATTTTTTTTTAAAAAAGTGGAACCTGACTAGCTGCTGCTGAAATTTATAAAGAATTGCCAAGGACCAATTAAATACAAGTATCCAGAATATATTCAGACTGACTAGTAATCAACAGGAGAATAAGGCAAGAAACTTGAACAGTCATGTCACAAAAGGAGAAAGTTCAAATGGTCAATAAACATTGAAAAAGATGTCCAAATTCTTTAGTAATCAAGGAATTATAAATTGAAACTACAGCTTCTAAATTGGTTAAAAAGTGAAAATCTGATAATTCTACCTGTTGGCAATTAAAAGGAAAAAAACATGCAGCCATATAGATGAATCTCACCAATACAATGTTGAGTAAAATAAACAAAACTAAGCAGTATTTTAGAAAAGCACACATAGATGGTAAAGCTATAAAGAGGAAAGACATGATTATCACAAGTCAAAATAGTGGTTTCTTTTGGGTAGGTGTTAATGTTCTGATCAAGTAGGACCACAGGAAGGAAGGAAGGTTCTGATCTTGCAAGTTTCTATTTCTAGCTGGATGGTGGCTACATGGGTCTTCACTTACAATTATTAAACTATTAAACATACTTTTCTGAATGTGTGCTCTATCTCACAATGAGGAAAAAAATGAGAAGGAATAATATTGCGATATTCCCTGGTTTGGTTCGATGCACAAGTTCCCTAAGGTGACAAATGTGACTGGGCACATTCTCTTCTTGGAAAGACAGTTGTTTAGTAGAAAACGCACTAGATGAGAGAAGTGCTCTTAATTAAATTCTTAATTAAGTCCTCTTAAGAAACTCTCTTAAGCATATTAAATCTCTCTGAACCGAAATTTGCTCATCTACTAAATGTAAATACTAAACTGCCCTTATTTCTTGGAATACTTGTGACTATCAAACCATGATATATTGAAACATATTTAGAAAACTGCAATCAAACAAAGAAACAAACACAGGAGCTTAGTTTTAATAATCTGAAATCCAAAGGTTTTTGTTACACTGTAGCTGTAATGATACCAAGAGATAATAGAATCCATGAAAATAAAGTGCAAATTCTAACAATCTTCTACTTTAACCATCATTTTTAAGAAAATGGTGCATCTGTTATCAGTAATGCAGAAACAAATAGGGTTACTGTTTGAGGAAAAGAAATAGTAATTTAACCCAAGAAATGTTATAAAAAGATACCATATTAAATGTCTGGAGAATGAGATCTACCCTTGTATTAGTTACAAAAGAAAACTTAAGAATGTCTTTTGCTGTCTGTGAAAAGGATATACATACTTTGCCAAATTTCCCATCTAGCATCTTCTCCCTAATAAATCATAGCAGCACCAAAATTATTCTCCTTAAGAATAATTATTCTCCTTAAGAATAATTCCTGACTAAAGGAGACAGGAATAAAATAAACAATTTAATTGGCCTTCTTAATTAGCCTTATAGTACTGTTTATGGGAAAATTAGCAAGAAACTGACAGGTGAGTCTCAATCACAAAAAGAAACTTTAAATGATAGAAGTTTCATGCATTTATTTTGCCACTTAAAACTTTTGCTGTAAATTCAACAATTCTCTTAGAAATTTTTCATATTCATACACTTAGAAGATGACAAAGATGATATAAAAATTTAAGGAAAAAATTTATTACAATGTTATATTATTTTCCTATATAAATTAATGTTCAAGGTTCTACATACCTGAATGTTTTCCCTACTCCAAGTATGTGGTGTTTTATTTGCAAGTAATTTCAGATCTTGAATAGCAAGTCTCTTTACTGCTTTCCTGGGGTCATTCTTCAAATACTGCAAGAGCAGCTGAATCTATAAGGGAGATAAGCCACACAGTTAACAATATTGTTACTGAAATTATCATTAGGGATGCAATGTTGTTTAGTGAAATTTTTAGACTTCAGACAGGACTCATTTCCAATCGCAGCCCTGTCATTTATCACGGCTGCCATGGCTGCCATGTTTAGGCCTCGTTCTCTTGGTGTATTAAATGACACTATCGTTTAACTCATAAGGTTCCAGCACAGACCTGGCCTTTAAGACTCAATCCTTTCTTTCTTTAGGCTCCATGCTCTGCCATGTACCTGCCTCTACCTCATTTCCTCAAGAGGTCCCAAAAGTCAGCATTGTGAATACAGAGAAGGCAAAAACAAGCAAAAGAAAATTAAACAGATCTTTATCAGAGAAAGGGTATCTTAATATTATCAAAATGTATGAGTTACTTATTTTTTTATCATATTCTTAATATACAAGATTAGGGAAGAAAGGGCAGTTTAAAGAAAACTGAAATTACCTGCTTAGGTGTATCCACCAAAGATGAAGCTGCAAGCAGAGTAAAAGTGTGTAAAGAAACAATCACCATTTTGGTGGAAGGATAGGCTGTGACTAGCTGCTGTAAAAGCTGACGAGCGCTGGAAGCCAGGATTGCATCATGGTGCATGTGCTGTAGGATTGGGATCAACTTTAGCTTCAGGTCTACGGGTGTGGCTAAGCCTAGATACAAAAAGAATTCTTGAGATTCGTGATCATCATCCTTGATAACAGCTCACATGTAAAAGGTCTAACTCAATTAGCACAATAACCATTTAAAAACAACTAGTATAGTAATATGTTTATAACATTAAACATAATTATATTAAAGCTAATCAATCAGTACAATAGTTTTTTCCAAAAGTATTTATCTTAACATTAATTTTCAATGACTATACAACTATATTCAATAGTAGGAAATGCCTTTAAAAGGCACAGTGGAAAGCAAAGTCATTTTGCTGCCTATTTCTTCTCATAGTATACTAAAAAGGTATAAATACGTTTATATATATATACAAGGTCTGTCTGTGAAAAGTTCAGGAAATGAAGCAGAGGATGGAAGATGATATAACGAAAATGGTTTATGTAACGTCAATGTAACCTGGCAGCCAAGGAAAGTGGACTAGAATGCACATGTGTGAACAACGGTGACTTCACTGTACTAGTCAGTGGAGGGCTGTAGATGCCATTGAGTGTGCATGTGTACTGTGTGGTCGACACATTCAAAATGACTCTGAGCGAGTAGAGCAACAAATCTGCATCAAATTTTGCATTAAGCTTGATCATTCCTCTGTGGAAAATATTTGGATGACTCAAAAGGCTGCAGCTATGGGCAACTGGTGATTGGTTTTATCACAACAATGTGCCCACTGATGCATCATATCTTGTGCAGAGTTTTGGCGAAACATCAAATCACACAGGTGACTCAGCCCTTCTACAGCCCAGATTTGGTGCCCAGTGACTTCTAGTTTTTCCCATAACTAAAATCGCTTTGAAATAAAAGAGATTTCAGACCATCAATGAGATTCAGGAAAGCCAATGGGGACCAGAACTGTGAGGTCCCAAGATGCCTACTTTGAAGGGGACTAAGGAGTCATTGTCCTATGTACAATGTTTGTGTCCTGTATCTTCTTCAATAAATGTCTCTGTTTTTCATAGTACATGGCCGGGTACCTTCTAAACAAATCTCGAATACACACACCCATACTCAATGGCTAAAATCTCATGATATTTACAATTTTAATGGTTTCCTTCAACATTAAGTCAAAAGCAAGATGTGAATAGACTGTGCATGGAATGGTTTTGAATTTCTGTGAACTCTGTGCAGCAAGGCTTTTCTTTACCGCACACACAGCTAGAATCCCATGAGGATTAAATCCAATGCATCTTTCCCTATCAAAATTAGAGCTAAGCAGAATTTGCTCTAAGCAAAATTAGAGCAAAATTAGAGCTAGAGCTAGGGCTTTGCGGTGATAAAGATAAAAAATTGTCAATCATAATGTACTGCATAAATGCCAAAAGCTAACTTATAGTCTGCAAATCACTGGTTTCCCCACTGTAAAATAACTCTTAGAGTGAACATATGATAGCGTTTCAACTTTGGCTTACATCAACAAACTCCCTTGCTATTTGGCTTCTACTTGAGTTTGGCCAAAGCACGGAACCCCAGGAGACGGGAGGGAGAAGAACGAAGTCAGAGTATTTATTCCCTGGTTCCCTCTGTGCTGGGTCACATCATATTCATCGAAGGTCAGTTTTTCAAAGTGGCCCTCTTGACATGACTCCAGGTTTCTGATGACCACTCCCTCCCCAGCATCCCAAAGGGGTGCAAGACCACATTATCAGCTACGGTTTACCCTGCCCATGTGTTTGTAAATGGTTCCTTCATTAAACACTCCTTGGATTATCTTAATTCAAGGTATAACATCTGGTTGGTTGTTTTTTTTTTTTTGCTGAGATCTTGTCTGAGAGAGCAGGATTCAATAAACACTTGCTCCATGAATAACTGATGCTTCCTTCTAGAGAAAGCCCTTTGTGTAGGAAAGCCCTTTTAGGATGGTAGGAAAAAAGGCACAGGAATAAAGGGGAACAGGATAAAACTCAATCCCTGTATCTTGGTCTTCAATTTAGTCATTTTATTTCCTTTTCTGTAAAACAGACTTAATAGCAGTACCTATCCAAGCCTGCCAAACTGCACAATTCAAAAGGATGTCATTTAGCAAAATACAAAGGACGTGGTGTTCTCTGGAACCGTTCAGTGCTATGGCCCCTGAGCTCCCTTTTACATGGGGTTAATACACATGAAACAGAGCATGGAAGATGGTATTAGGAAACTTGGCATTTGTAGACTACGGCAAGGAATGTGGATTTTAGTTGCAACTGAAGACACTGAAGGGACATTAGCCAAGTGATGAGAGTGTCCCAGAGCTTCTCAAGGCACTGCCCTCCCCGAAACCAGAATGTTCTTCCCCTAAAAAACTGCACTCCTCACTCTAATATCACGTTATCAGAGGGCTTCCTTCATGACCATATATACAATAGAAAAGTTCCCCCTTCTACCTACCATCTACTCTAGGGATTTGCTATCCTTCTTACTCACTTTTTCTCCATTGCACTTGATATGTCCTGTTATTGTCTATTGCTACTCCCCCTCTCTCCACCACTAGAATGTAGGTTACTTGAGGGCAAGGATTTCGTTTTGTTCACTACTATATCCTAAGCACCTAGAAAAGCTCTGGCATTTAGATGATGCTTAATAAGTATTATTTGAATGAATAAATGAGTAAATGGTGACTAGCACATAGTACTTAATAAATGTTAGCAGCTATTATTAATAATATAAATCCCATTAAGTCACTTCATAATACTAAATAAAGCATACATACCTTGAATCATTTCACTAATTTTGTTACAGATTCCTACAGCAAAATCCCTTTGGAAAGAGAGAACAGCAAAAAATTTAAAACTAAATAATTAAGATTTTCTAAAGACTTAAAAGAAACACAACACAATCAGCATAGGAGAAATGCCGATACATACTCCAATTTGTAACTAATATTCCAAAGGTTAGGTGCTATGGGTAAGGTTAGAAATGCAACTGAAACCAGAACTCTAACCAGCATATGGGTTTACGCCAACACTGTTCTCACTTGGTATGCAAGGAAAGATGCTCTGATTTATGAGTGTTGTTGCAATTCGTGTCACTGAGTCATACTGCCTGAAAGATTCAATGTTGCTGTCTCAATCTATTATGTTTTAGGATGTACTTTTAATTAAGCTTTTAACACACTAGCTGATTACATAAGCAACAAAATACAATAGGAAACACAGATAGAATCTTACTATAAAAGCCAAATTATTTCAAGTTAGCCCTGTATTTGTAATACTATATATGTGTAAAGTACTTTGCAAGGTGTTGCTTTTGATTCAATGGCAACAGAAATATCACAGAATGTTGCACAAGTATTAATAACATGAATATCTGAGATAAAATATAATATGTAAAGAAATATGGTAAGAGATAACAGGATCAAATCTGGCTTATTTATCCACAATAAATGATATATAAGACATAAACTACTGTCCTGGCTGATGTGGCTAAGTTGGTTGGGCATTGTCCTGCAAACCAAAGGTTGCCGGTTCAATTCTTAGCCAGGGCCCAAGCATGGGTTGTGGGTTTGGTCCCAGGTCCAGCCACGTACAAGAGGCAACCGATTGATGCTTCTCTCTCTCTCTTTCTCTCACCCTTCCCTTCTCTCTAAAAATGTATATCAAATTTTTAAAAAGGACGTAAGCTACTTTCCCTCTACAGTTCAATGGATGTCTAAATAAAATACTTCCTGCCATTAGGATATGATTTGTCATTTTCAAATTAATTCTCTCACAAGTGAACAATGGAGTTTTCCAGAGGCTGCATGATATATGATGACAGTCATCTATTGACAACTAAAGGAATGCATGATTGTGTATTCTTTTGTTTTCTAGAATTTTCTATGGTGGTTTAGTGTTTAAATGTGTTTTCTGAGATTAATTCGGTTTGTTCTCAATTATTCTATTGTGCTCTTACTCTCTTTGACTACATCCATAATAATCTCAGTAACCTCATTATCATTCAATGCATCATAATTCTGAAATCTCCTAGTTTTCCTTGTGCCTATGTAGAAACATATTAAGAAGTATACTTTTTTGGTGTGCTTGCAGTAAACTTTTGAATGGTTTTTCTAAAATTTTATCTAAAATTGCTTTGGTTTTAGAAATTAAAATATTTTATTCAAAAATAAAGTTCATTTGTAAATTATTTTTCTTATACTTAAGAGTGAGTTGTTGGCTTGAAAGAGATTGTAAGGCTAATTTTCTCAACCCAGTTCACCGCAGTTACCACTAGAGGGCACCTCTCCCATTGACAGGCTCCCATGGTCCCTGAAGGCATTTGGGTTTGCATTCAACCGGGATTTGTGACCCTGGGAATAGTTCTTTAAAAATATAAAATCCTAACTTTTTTTTAGAACAAGTTAGATGTGGTTATGGTAGTAGACAGGGAGAAAATAGAATTAAAATCTCAAGGCCTTATTTGGCCAGTTATTCTTATTTGTTTAAGATCCAAACTTGGTAAATTGAGATACTAAGATAAAAATCCATCACTATTAGTTGAGATATCTGATCTCAGGCCAGGTCATCCATCTTTCTCTGGGGAAAGAGGCAAACTCAAATCTCAAAGAGATACATTTTGTTAGTTTCACACTCTGATACATTTAGATAAGCCCTTCAGGCTTTCCATTGTACTCATTTTGAATTGCAAGTGTATACTGAAGCCTGGTATGTCAAAATCTGCTCCTACATAACTGTTAATTTAAATGTTTGGTCATCAATTCTTTAAATGAAGAACTTGGCTGATTCTATATTACTTTGTCTTAATCATTTCTCAAAACAGATAAAAAATTCTAGAGCTGGTAAAATTAGCTTCTGATAACAGAAGAGAAAAACTGAACCAAAAATGATTCTAATAAAATCGAATAACTAAATTACAAACTTATCATTTAGGAACTACATTTAGAAAACTACTTTTGGAGTCACTGTACATATTTAATCTGACAGTGCTGATTAGATGCTAATTACTCACTAGATAGTACTACCTCCTTATCCAAAAAAAGCAATTTTTAAAAGTTCTCTCAATATCAATGACACTCACAATAAAAAATTTCCAATTTTCAAAAGCATAGATAGGAACTCTATTTAACTCAGATATTTCACCTCCTCAATTACTGCCACACCTACTGATTTTGAGTAGTAAGTTAAAAGTTATATCCCTTCTATTCTTTACTCTCCTTTTCCAATGAGTAATCCTGAACTTCTAAGGTGTGATAAAAGCAGCTGAAGAGTATGCACATAATTAAAAGCTGAAGAAAGAATATTGATTATTTCAGTTACTCGAATTTATCGGAGGTTCTTAATGGAGATGCTATTTTTTATTTTAAAAAATAACATTTAATATTCACTTGATTATAAAACCAAAACTTGCTCATGACAGAATACACAGAAATTTATTAAAAAGAAAGTAAAAATTAGATACAATCTTACCACCCAAAGACAATGTTTTAATATACACTGTTCTGTAAGAACATGACTTCCCAAACAGGTTAAAATTGGTTTCAACTCAAGTCACTACAGTTTTTGTCTATTGCCAAACAGCTTAACTTGAGGACTGTACGAAAGCAGCAGTTTTGTATTAGGGCTATGCATATTTGGGGGAAGCTCTTCAGTAAACAAAGCTTCTGCTCTCAATGCCTTCCCCAGCTCTGTAATCTATGCTGATCCTGTCCTTCTGGAAACTCTTATTTCATTTACAGTTAATGACAACTTTTGTACTTAACTATTCTTTTCTGTGTATTTAAGTTTTGCTTCCCCAAATGCGACGTAAACTGTCTTGGAAAACACACCTTGCCATTTACATTTTTTTCCGAATTGCTTAGTATTTAATACATATTGCTGAGTTACTCCTTCAAAACCTCTCCTTGGGAAACCAAATGTCTGAAAGGCCTGTGCTTACTTTGATTGTGCAGAAAAGTTTGCAGCAGCAAAAACAGCAGCTTCGACTTCTACATTATCATGTGAATCCAGGCTCTGACGAATACTATGGTGAGCATTTTTCCTCTCAGGAATTATTGATGCCAGACTCCCCAACATCCTACAGAAACAGAGAAACGAGAAAGAATGAAAACACAATAAACTTGAGGCCAGGAAAGGAAGAAGCAAGGCAAAGCTGCATTACCAAAACTAAGATTTGTAGGTAATTCCATAACCTCCAGTTAATTAAGCATCAACCTTAGGAGTCAAGCAGTGACTGAACTTGTAACCACTTTTTCATACTTCAGCATGTCAGAAAAATTAACATGGATTGTCTAATACAAGTAAAATTTTTAAAAATCATCTTGAAGTATATCCCAGGTACCAAACACAACCCAGAAAAGAATCTTTTAAATTATTAAAGCATTAAAATATCAATTTCCAGTACTGCGTAAAGAAGTCCAGTTTAACGAAGCATTAGGAGTCTAACATTTTTGGTATTATGTACATCGGCAAGTAAAAAAGTAGGATTCCCTAGTCCTTTTTTCCATATCATAAATGTTGGTACCACGATTTGCAAACCCCTCCTCAAAATCAAAAACACCCAGGCAGAGGATGCCCCCTGGCACTCCTATCAGAATCTGCGAGGGTGAGGAAGAAGAATTTGAGAAAAACACAGCCTACTTTATAATAAAATCACAAATTCAGAAAAGGAAAAAATCTATTATTTGTAACAAACTATAGAAAGTAAAGCTTGAAAAATCTTCTCAGCAGAAAGGCAGGGATTTTAGAAGGTTATAAAATATTTCAAGAAACAAAACAGGTTCCTACAATGACTGCCTTCCTCAAAGTCAATGTCCAGAGTTAGCTTCCAACTTGACATATCATCTCCTAATTATCTTATGGAGATATAATTGATTGGACACAGGTAGAATTCTTATAAGCAAGATACTAAAATGGACAAAATATGTAATTTAACTTCAATTGGAGAGTTCTGAAATTACTTTGATGAATTATTTCACAAAATATGTAACTTTGATGGATTATTTTTCAAAATATGTAAATAACAAATGGCTATTAAGCTAATATTTTTATACAAGGAAAGATCAGACTAGGCTAATATTAACATACATTGATTAACAGTTTGTTACTATGTAATATGTAAAGGTAAAAAAAAGCATAATCCCGTATGACACTACCTTCTAAAATATTTCTGGTAATATTATAAATAATTTGTAGCACTACACTTCTAATGCAATGAGTATTTCCCACCATCTTCTATTTTTTTTGGAACTTAGTAAGTCCAAATTAACAGGTGCAAAATAAAAAATCTTTAAAGTATGAATCATAAAAGCACTTAATTCTGAAAAGGAAAAACCGATTCCTGATGTGAAAATACAGAAACTCTGGGGAGAAGTGACACCCTAGACTTCGTGGTTAAAGAGAGTATTGTCTGGAAGGGGAAAGTCAGAAATGAGCCCTATAATTTAGGAATGTAAACTTCAAAAAAAAATCCCCAAATTATACATGATTCCACAGATAGCACAGCTAAAAAGAAAACATAGTTCAAGTTAAATATAAAAGGCTTACAATTTTTTAAAATACATTCTAACAAAATTTTTAAAAAAGTTTTAAATGTCAAGAAAGAAAAAGCTGAAGAAACTATAGTGGTTATATCTGGCATTCTCCAAGGAGTTCAAATATAAATGATTGCATACAATGCAATGGGTAACTAATATAAATTATTAATTATAACTTATAGTATATAAATAATATAAACATGATAAATATATAAATATAAATATTATATAAATATAAATAATATAAATTATTGCAAAAAAATGAGTAGGTAACTGAGGATGACTACAGAAAACTGACACAAAACAGTAAGAACAAGGTCAGGAAGTTCAAAATAAGTTAAAGCTAAGCTACATTCAGATCCTAGTTCTTTGATTAGAACATCTACCTACAGAAAGGAATGTTTCAAAAACAAGTTAGGTAACAATGTACAACCAAAACAGTATGGTAGGTGATAACTGAGAAGAATTTACAGGTTAGGACAGTTACAATATTTTTGCATTGAGTTCTAGTTGAAAAAACAAAAATAAATTTTTAATACTCAAAATGAAAAAATAAATATATTGCCTTTTTTGGCTACATAATTATAACTCAAACATCTTGTGGTGAATCATAATAGCAACGCAATATACCGGAGTGTGATGGCTCTTGCTACAGGATCATTACTATGAATCACGGAGAAAATTCTCTTCACAAATTCATCCACATTTAGAATCTTCTCCAAATGCTTCTCACTTTGTTGAGTAACTTTAAGAACACAGAGCCTCAGGAAATTGTTTCTACAAAAAACCAGGAATAGAATAAATTAGACCATTTTAGGAAAGTAATATTCAATTAGGAATCAAAATGATACTATTAATATTAAGTTATAGCAACAGGTAGATGTTTTTCGATCTTATTTGTCTCATCATTAAGAGTTAAAGTCTGAAGTATTTCAGGTGGGTACCAAGCAAAAGCAGTCAGCAATGACTGCAGTCAGCCCTGCTGCAAGATGCCAAAATGGCAGTGACACAAGGGGCCCAGGAGCAGAGCTGAATCTCATCATATCATAACCAAGGCCAGGAGGTCAGATGGTCTCCCTCCTCTCTCGAGCTAATTCTACCACATCTTTTCTCCTTCAAGTCTGATTTGGTGTGTGTATGATCACATGAGTGCTTAGAAATGGTAGGAAGAAATGGGAGGGAGTTGGTAGGGGGAAAAAAAAAGAAATGGGTATTTTATTCAGTGCTTACACGTTTCAGGCACTTCACAGTAACATGTAATCTCATGTTATAAAATAAGCTATAAAATTACAAACTTCTTCAAACATTCAGTACAAAGCCACAGATATTTCCCAAATGTATAGTAATATATTGAGGTTGTCTTAATTTGATTTACCCTGTTACCCAAAGAAATAAGTACTCTCTAATTTACACTCTTGAATTTTGCTTAAAACGCTATTAAGCCTTCCACAAAAAAATATTACACACTACCCTGGTATGTCAACTAAAATGGTAACCAACCATGTGGAAGACCTAAAAGTCAAAGACCACAGTATAAAACAAAGATACGAACAAAGTACTTTGGGACACCAAGGATTTAAAAAAACTTACCCAACTCTGAAAACATCAGCTAACTTGAGGAATGCAGAATTGATGAGAATAGGGAATGGATACTTTTGAAAGAGCCTAGGAAAGCGGACAACTGCCTCACATTGTTCACCAAGTTTGCCAGATCTTAGACCTATGAAAAATAAAAAGAGGAGAATAGCTTACATATTTGTGGCTACAATAAGGCAAAAATAGCAAATACTTACACAGTTATTATCCAGTCAAGTTATATATGCAGTAAAATAATAATTCTTAACAATTAGGTAAAGTACAACTGTAACTCATTACTTTTAAAAAAATGGTATATAAAATAATAATTCGGTATATTGTCACTTGTAGATAAAGAATAATGGAAAAGGCTCTGGACAGTGTGGCTCAGTTGGTTGGAGCACTGTTCTGCAAACTGAAAGGTCACAGGTTTGATTCCCAGTCAGGGTACATGCCTAGGTTAGGGTGCTGTCCCAGGTCAGGGCACATTTGAGAGGCAGCTGATCGATGTTTCTCTCGCACACTGATGTTTCTCTCCCTCTCTTTCTCCCTCCCTTCCTAAAACCTTCTTAAAAAATTTAAAAGACTAAAATCATGCCATGTTTGATCTGTGATCATAAAAATTAAATCAGGAATCAATAAGAGAAATACCTGAAAATTTGAAATTAAACAACACATTTCTAAATAACCCATGAGTCAAAGAGATGATCAGAAGGAAAATACCTTGAACTAAATTAAAATAAAAGTACAATCTATGGGATATAAAGTAGTGCTTCAAGAACATTAAATGTGTTGACCCCAAGAAAAAAGATATCTACCAAGAAGGTCTCCTTGTGACGAAGTGGGCTCCAATTCAGAAACAGAGTCTGGTAGCTGTTGCTAAACAAAAGCCTCTCACACAGGCCACACTTCAGGGAGAGACCTGCACTGAACTGCCTGTTTGCTTTGTGTTCTTGCTCTCTGAGCTAACACTTATAAAGGAGGTCCTGGAATCATATTTTAACCAATAGGACTGAGACTTTCCCCACCCAATCAAAGCTGTGTGACTATATCCCCATTAGTATCTTCACCAACCAAACAGAGCAGTCCCACTTTGACCAATTAGGAAAGTGCTTTTTGGACCAATCAAACTGTCAGGATTTGGAGTCCTCATCTGCGCGAGAACAAACCAATCAGGAACCAGGGTTGGGTACTTCTCCGTGTACAAGTCAGCTCTCCTCTGGCTTGAGAACACACTTTCCTTTTCCATCCAAGACTAAAAATGCAATCACCCCATCCCCAACAGAGAGAAACTGGAGGGCCACCTTGCCAAGGCGCCCTAAGGCTGCCTCACAGCCATGTTGTCCCATAATTGAGCTGTAACATTACTGAGCTGTTCCACAGCTGTGCTTTATCACTACTGAGCTGTGTGCACTGAATGAAGTTTCCTTCTTCACCATACTCCAAACTGGAGATTCTGCTGGTACTGCACTGGCACCAATGATGATCAGTTGGCAAAGGCTTATGTTAGGGAAAAAGAAAGGTCCCAAACTGACAATCTAACAAAAGTGCCAGGATAATTCAATGATTGTGCAAAGGATAATCTTTTTTAACAAATGGTTCTGGAACAACTGGATAGCCATAAGCAAAAGAACCTTAATTCTAAACTTCTACCATATACAAAAATTAACCCAAAAAGAACCATAAACCTAAATGTGAGAGCTAAAATTATGCTCAGCATAGAAGAAAACACAGGATAAATCTTTATATGCTTGGGTTTGACAAAGAATTCTTGGAGAAAACACAGAAAGCACAAACATAAAATAAAAAAGTAATAAACTGAACTCCATCAAAATTAAAAACTCTTTAAAAGATAATGTTAAGAGTTCCCCAAGATGAGTCACATACTAGAAGAAAATATTTACAAAACAAGTATTGTCTATCATAAAGGACTTAATCTACAATTCTTATAATTCAATAAGACAACCCACTATTTTAAATGGGCTAGATTTCAAAGGAAGTTTCATTAAAGGGGAAACATGAAAGTCAACTATAAGCATATGAACAGATACTCAACATTGCTAGTTATCAAGAATATGCAAATTAAAAACCACAGTAAGATACCACTCACTACATATCTGCTAGAACACGAAAAAATAAAAAGACCAACAATGTCAAATGCTAATGAGAATATGGAGAAACCGTAACTTTCATACACTGCTGGTAGAAGTGAAATACTACACCCTTCTTTGGAAAAGAGTCTGGCTGTTTCTTATAAAAGCAAACACCTGCTATACACTCACTAATCCTACTTCTAAATCCTTATCCAGGTGAAATTCAAACACATGTCCATACAAAGACATGTACACAAATGTTCACAGCAGCTTTATTCATGATAGCCCCCAAATGCAAACCCAAAGGTCCATCGACTGGTAAATGAATAAACACAATGTGGTATATCCAATACAATGGATTGCTACTCAGCAATAAAAAGTAACAAATTACCAATTTATGCAACAACACCAGTATGCTAAATGAAAGAAGCAAGATCCAAAAGACTATATACTGTATGATTCTATTTTATGTGACATTGTGAAAAAGGCAAAACTATAGGGACAGAAAACAGATCATTGGTTCCCAGAAACGAGAGAGAAGAGATCAAATCAAAAGGAGTACAGGGCAAGTTTTTGGAGTGAAAGAAATGTTCTGCATTGACTGTGGTAGTGGTTTCATGACTACATATACTGGGTGAATGTTATTATTTACAAATTATACCTCAATAAATCTAATTTTAAAAATCAAAAAGGGGGATCCAAGATGGCAGCAGATGGTGTCAGGAACCCTCACCTCCTCCCAGGATCAAATTGGAATTATAACTAAAATATACAACAATCAACTTGAATAACCAACTGAAGACTAGCTGAACAGAAGTCTTACAACCAAGGACTTACAGAAGCCACATCAAGACTGGTAGGAAGGGTGGAAATGTAAAAAAGGCTGGTCCTGTTCCCACAGGTGGTGGCTGAGATTCTGGGCGGACATATCAGCTACAAAAGTTCTCCCTGAGGAACTTGGGGTCTCAACCCCACGCTGGACTCCCCAGCCCAGAGAACAAGAGCCAGGAAGAACACCCACATAACATCTAGCTGTGAAAATCAGAGGGGATTCTGTCCACCAGGGAGAGACAAGAGTCTCCTAGAAACCCGGGTGCCCTCTTAAAGGGCCAATGCCCAAAATCTCCTTCACAGCCACTCACCCAGGATTCCGGTGCAGAGTGAAGCAAACTAGAGTCATGCAAGGAAAGACTGGGGTTTGTGGCTCTGGGGAGAGAGCTGGGAGGACAGCCAAAGGATCCCCATGCCGAGTACCTCTCCCATAACACAGACATCATCTTTCTTTGGTGGAGTACCCCGCTCCTTACAGCACTGGCATGAGGGAATGCAATAGCTCCACACTCTCAACTCTCCATCACTTCACCCTGTGGAGCTCGCACCCTGCTGAGGAGTCAGCTGCCTGGACCGGGGTGTGGAGACCTGAGCAGGCTCAGGGGTTGTCGGTGATCGAGTTGTATGGCTTTGGGGTGAGAGCCATTCCCCCCACTTTCCCATAAACCTAACTGGTGTCTCCCCATCACGGGAGATCCACAGCCATACTTGGTCTGTTTGGACCTGATAAACTCTGTTGTTCTCACCCTAATGACGCCCTGAAACCCTGCCCAACCACAAAGGTCTGTGGGCCCTTGGCAGGCGGAGCTAGACGTGATATACCACGGGAATTTTCCTGAGTGGCCTCAGACCCAGTATCGGCACTGAGTTTGAACCTCTATCAAGATGGTGAACACCATTTACCCCTTCCTGGAGTCTCACTGAGAACCTACCTCATGTAACTGAGTACTGCCAGAGACTGGAAAGTGACTGAGCCTAATAGGCAGCCTGCAGGCAGAGGCAGGTGGAAGCTGATCTTGGGGTGACTTGGGCCTTTTGCTGACTTCACCCAGGCTTGGTGCTGGTGGAAACTGGTGTTGGAGTGTAACTCGTTCCTTCCCACACAAACCAAGGTCCAGCAGAAGCAGCCACAAACTATATGGATCACTTGGTAGTTCCAAACAGGTTGCTAAGGCCAGTCACAATCAGTGTCTGACATTGATCTGCACCAGAGTCCCTTCCAAGAGGCCCAAGAACAGACACACCCAGTGGCCAACCTCAGACAACATCAGAGCAGGATCCAATTAGCTTCACAAGTGGCATATCCAAAGGAACATCTTGACAGGCACCAGATCCTGCTGAGGCAAATTCAGCTTCACGTGGTCAGCACCTGCACAGCAGCGCATACACTGTGGCCGGGGCTGAGCCTCACAGTCAGCCAGCGTGAGGGTCGACCCTACTCATGAGTGGCCCAATAGCAATCAAGACTCAATTACAACAGGAGGGGGCTCACATAAACCACACAAGGGACATTCCTAGAGTACCCGGCTCAGGTAATAAAGGAGACTGTGACACTAAGTTCCACAGGACACACAGCAGGTATGCCTAATACATAGAAACAAATGCAAAGAGGCAGCGAAAACAGGAGACAAAGAAATATGCTCCAATATAAGAACAGGAGAAATCTCTAGAAAAAGAGTTAAATGAAATGGAGACAAGCAATTTACCAGATATATAGTTCTATAAAACAGTTATAAGGGTACTCAAAGAACTTAACGAGAACTTCAACAGCATGAAAATGGAAACAGAAACCATGAAAAAGAACCAGTCAGATATGAAGATACATATCTGAATTGGAGAATACACTATAAGGAATAAAGAGTGGGTTGGATGAAGCAGAGGACTGAATCAGCAATTTGGAAAAGGTAGCAGAAGACACCCAATCAGAGCAGCAAAAAGGAAACAGAGTTCTTAAAAATGAGGATAGTTGAAGGGACCTTTGGGAAACATCAAACACAACAATATCCTCATCACAGGGGTACCTGAAGGAGAAGAGAGAGAGCAAGGGATCAAGAACCTATTTGAAGAAATACTGACTGTAAACTTCCTTAACCTTGTGAATAAAAAAAGACACACAAGTCCAGGAAGCCTGAGAGTCCCAACAAGATGAACCCAAAGAGCTCCACACTAACATATATTATAATTAAAATGGCAAAGATTAAAAACAAAGACAGAATCTTAA